TTAGTTTCTGTGCTCAGGGATCACTCCTGGCAGACCTTGGGGGTACCATACATGATGCTGGTGGTCCAACCTTGGTAGGCCATGCCCATAAACAAGAACTTTTCAATGAATTAAAACTTACATAATGTCATAGCCCCACATTTATGACTAATATTTTTACAAGAATACAAAGAGATAAAAAAGATATAGAATTTTTTAAAGGATTTCAAGGAAAAAGATGCATTTTAAAAAGTATATTCTACATGTATAAACTTTCTTCCTCTCATAAATAGATTTCTGTACACTTTTTGGCTGCATTTGTACATTTTTGTTGTTGATTTCACTTTGTTCTGTGCTCTGCTTGTATACAGATTCCCCCAAAATGAAAACCCACAATGAAGTGAGCATCTGGGAGCCTTAATTAGCTGTAAACTTGACACTATTCTTAGAACCTAGACATTTTTTAAACAATTTTTTATGTCACTAGACAAATCTTGTTGCTTTTTGAATTATGAATTTCTCCACTTATTTTTTTGTATTTACAATCCTTACTAATAACTGTGGTTGAAGACTGCCCAGTGTGTGCATTTCAGGGGGATGGTGTTGAAATAAGCCTCTGCTAATGACTGTAGTTTGTAAAATTTTGCTAAAGCATCTTAGTTTGAGAAATAGACCATTTAAAGGACAGAATAATTTTGTAAATAGTTTGAAAACATTATAATGCCTTATGTAAGGGAAATGTGAGAATGTCAAAGAGTGCAAATCAGTGTTACCTGGCTATTAAAGTAAATGTTGGATTGGGTAAAGCTTCAGTATTCATCCAATCATCTTATTTCAGGGCAAAGTTCCAACGGCTCCAGGAGCAGGTTCTCTATAATTTCTGTCAGAGGTCTATCTTATGATGCTAAGCAACTTGGGTGTAATACAACCTGCAAATCCTGCCCTTGTCTTGGCTATGGGTTTGGAGTTGTTATTACCTTTAGGTAGCAGAGTATCAGTGTCAGTAAGTCAGTAAGTGAGCAAGGCTGGTCAGTTGGAAAGAAGTTTGTGGGAACCCCGTCCCCCTACCTCCTTACCTATAGTTAACTGTGTCCATTTTCCCGGTATTGTGAGTTGAGTTCGAATGGCTTGTAGAGCTCTGTGATCGGTCATGTATGCTATATAGAGTAATTTCAGGAAGTCTATAGAGAAATTATCCATTTAGGTCAGCCTTGTGATGGTGATGAACAGAGACCAAGTCTGGTGTCCCAGAGATTCCCTCATATTTTGTGGATCATTTCAGTATTTGCCATGTGTATCCAATAAATTAGGATTCTGATCTACCAATAAAATAAATGGGGTGGGGGCTAGGGGTGTTGGGCCACATCAAGCTCTGTTGGTTCGTGCCAGGGATTGAACTTGGGTCAATCTGAATGCAAAGCCTTACCTGTTGTACTCTCTCTCTCTAGGGTTATTAGCCAAATAGTTTCACCAAATCTTACACTAATGCTGGGACCATATAACAGGCAGTGCTTCCACCTCCAAAGTACATTTTTATAGTTTAGTTTAAAAAAAACACCATGAACAAGAACAAAGTCTCCTCTGTGGGGTAGAGCTAACATTATTTTTCATAGTGAGAGGGCAACAGAGAAAAAAATGGTCCTTTATGGAAGAAAGCAGAGCCAACTGTAATAGTCTTATCACCTTGCCTTCCACTTCATTTTGTTACTTTCCTTTGCTTTTCAAGAACCCATTATTTCATCTCTTTATGAGAGTTAAATAGCAGGTTTCTCATGACTGCTTTTCACTTGGGTATTAAGATGTGATATGTCTTTTTATTTTATGCAAACACAATGCTCCTTAAACATAGAAATTTTCAAAATTTTTCCTTATTTCATACATGAGGAAACTGAACCCCCAAAGCAAGTGACAACTTAGTTCATTATTCAGTGTCCACGAATGTGTCAAGCTTGGTTTGCAGTGTCCCCAGGAGACACTGTAGGGAGATAGAGACAACTTAAAGGGGCTCCTGAACATCACTAACAAAATTTTCTTAAAAAAGAGTTTTATTTGTTGGGCCACACACAGAGGTTCTCAGGGCTTATTCCTGCCTGTCTCAGCCCAGGCTCACTCCTAATGTGAGCCAGATATCAAACTGGTGCTAGCTGCATGCAAGGTAAGGGCTTTAATGCCTGTATTACCTCTCCAGTCTCAGTAAAAAGGCTTATTAAAGACATGTAGGCGAGGACTGGAGAGATAGTAAGGGTTTAAGTAATATACATGTCTTGCATCCCACCAGCCTGGTTTAAATACTTGGCACCACATATGGTCCTTTGAGAACCACCAGTACTCACTCTTGAGCACAGAGCCAGGAGTAACTCCTGAGCACAATCTGTGGCCCAAAGAAACAACTAAACAAACAAAAAGAGATGATGGCCAGTTACTGATAAAACGATGTGCTTCTCATGTGTTTTGTGTAGCATTTCCCCTCCTCCAGATCCATGCCAGGGAAAAACAGCAGAGAATCTAGGCTAAACCCAAAATCTGCTTCCCATACTATTTAGCTATGAAGCTTCTACTGCAGGTTTTGAAGTAATGTAATTTTAGAATTAGTTCATTATAATTTTAGTTCATTATAATTTTAAAAGATAATATATAATGTCCTAACATTTTATCCTAAGAAAATATCACCCATATAATATTACTGATTCTCTTCATGGGATATGGGATGCCGGGGATCGAACCTGAACACACATTGTCTCCATCCTCAGCAATGAGGGGTTGGATAGTTATTACACTGGGTAGGGTGCTTGCCTTGCATGCAGCAGACCCAGGTGCAATCTCCAGTAACCACATATTATCCCCTATGCACCACCCAGAGTGGCCCCTCAGCACAGAGCCAGGAAAAATGTGGTAGATATTTACTATTTTCATTCTAAACTTGTTTCCTTCCCCTTTCGAATACAAAATTAATTGGAATGTAACTTATGGGGGAAAAATCATCCCATATGATCCCTCGAGCACCACCAGGAGTAATTCCTGAGTGTAGAGCCAGGAGTAACCTGAATGGGAGAATTATTTTAATTGGCTGGAGCGATAGCACAGTGGGTAGGGCGTTTGCCTTGCACACTGCTGCCCCGGGCTGATCTGGGTTCAATTCCTCTGTCCCTCTCTGAGAGCCCGGCAAGCTACCGAGAGTATCCCTCCCCCACAGCAAAGCCTGGCAAGCTACCCATGATGTATTCGATATGCCAAACACAGTAACAACAAGTCTCAAAATGGAGATGTTACTGGGCCCGCTTGAGTAAATCGATGAACAACGGGAGGACAGTGCTACAGTGCTCTTCATGAACAATTGACTTTAAGATTAAGATTTATTAGTAACGAAGAAAATAATTCATTCTAAATTAAGAAAATAACCATAGGAGCTGGAGAGATAGTATAGCAGGTAAGGTGTCTGCCTTGCATGCGGCCAACCCGTGTTTGATGCCAGGCATTCCAGATTGTCCCCTGAGCCTCCCTGGAAATAAGCCCTGAGCTCAGCCAAGTGTGCCCCCCCCATAGCAAAAATACAGCAGTAAAATAAATGAAAATATAAATCCATCTGTGTCTCCAATATTATGCCATTGTCATGTTTACTGTAAACAACATAATTTGTTCAGATCTACTTTTAAAGGGGTCTGCTTTAGTGCTCTCACAAAAAAAAAGTAAAATGAACCCTTTATTCACAGATCTTATAATCAAATACCCTCACACATGCATCTAATGTATGTGCATGGTTTGTTTTGGGGACATGCTCAGAAGTGCTCAGGAACTACTTTTGGCTTGGTGCTGGAGTTTCTTTGTAGTTATGCTTGAGGAACCATGTATTGTGGGGTTTCATGCAGGGCCTCCAGAGTGCAGAGCATGTATTACAGTCTATTGTGCTACGGCTCAGGCCCCGTGTGTGTGTGTGTGTGTGCGCGTGTGTGTGTCTGTAAGATTCTTGTGCCCCTGACAGGGAATTGATACAGGAAATCTAACATCTTCTGCATTATTTGGACTTTCAGCTTTATCTGTCACTTGAAAGTTAACTCAGTGTTACCTCTGGCTCTTGGAATAATGCCATGGTCACTTTCTCTCAGTTCTAGGGTCTTTGCCAATCCATTCTTTGCAATGTCATCATATCATTTACCCCTAAAAGTGACTGGTCACATTTTCTTGCTCAAAATTTCCCCCAAGCTGCACATCTCTGACAAAATACAGGGCCATGAGCTCCATAGCAACCATCATTTTCCAACCTTCTTTCCCATGCAACTTGAAAAACGCCCCATCCCCCCTGCCTCTGAATCCCTTTACTGGTCAAGAAATGAGGGCCAAGTCTGCCCCTCGCCTGAGCCCTCAGCACACACACCAGGCCCATTGATCTCAGCCACCAGCATCTCTTCTGCCTCTCCTCTTTGGCTCTCAGTCATAAATACATTATTTCTGTGGCTCCATATTCTTCACTCCCTGAACGAGTCGCTTAGCTGCAGGAAGGGCGACGAAGACTATCTGGAGGTCTTAAACATTATCATACACATGCTTCGACTTGGTTCGAGCTTAGCAGCTGTGCGAGGGCAGGAATAATTCTCCCCCCACCCCCACCTCGGAAGCAGCATGATCCCCGCCCCCTCCCCCCATCCGCACCCGTGCCTCTGCATTTCCGTGGGCAGCTTTGTCAGTGCCTCCCCCTCGCGGCTGGGTCCAGGGAGCCAGGGGACCACCTGTAAGTGGACCTTCACGGTAGGAAGCCTCACGATTTTACCGGGAGAGAGAGCAGCGCTTCCCTAACCTTTAATTCACTTCTTCTCCATTCCTGGAATATTTCTCTCCGAGCACCTACCCTGCGCCAGACGCGGCCAATTTGAATTTGCTTCTCTGCAAGAAGGAAGAAGGGGGGTGGCTGAGGAGTGTGCGTGTGTCGGGGGAAGACTGCAGTCCCTGCGCCGATAAATCAACTCACTTGAAGGTCAGGCACCCCCCTCCCCCTGCTCTGAGGAGGTGCCCGCGAGGCGCGCGGAGGCCGGGAGAGCCGGTGCAGATCGGGGCGAGACGCGCGAGGCAGCAGCAGCAGCGGCGTCCGCGCGGCGGGGCCAGGTCGGGGCGCGGCCCGAGCCCGGGAGGCGGGGAGGCGGCGAGCAGCCCGCGCCTGCGGCTCCGTCCCCGCGCACGCCGACGCCGCCCGCTCCCCCGCCGCGGCGCGGGGCTCCCGGCCCGCCCAGGTAACTTTGCTCGGGGGAAAGCCGCGGGGGTCCGGGTCGCGCGGGCCGGACGCGCCGGGCCCTGAGCGCGCCGCCGCCGCCGCCGCCGCGGCTGCCCGTAGCCGCGTGTCCCCGCCAGGCCGAGCCCGGCCTCCGGGGCCTGCGCCGCCCGGGCGAGGCCACCCCCGCCGCCCGCGCCCCCGGCCCGGATCTCGCGTTCGGGGCGCCATGTTCTGAGTCCCCCATCGGCGCGGGGCCGGGGCGACACTGCGGCGCGGGCCCGGCGGCCGCCCAGGTGCGCGGGCGCCGAGCATCCCCGCCGGGAGCGCTCCGGCGGCTTTTATGTAACTTGTCTGCCGCCCCGAAGTGGGCCGGCTCCGGGCCGGTGGCGGGAGCGCCCGAGAGACGTCGCCCCTGGGCCCTTGGTCCAGCCTCGGCGGGGCGGCTGGTGCACTGCTGCGGGCTGGGGCCGGGGCCGGGCCGGGGGTGCACTGCTGCGGGCTGGGGCCGGGGGGTGCACTCTTGCGGCTGGGGCGGGGGGTGGTGCACTTCTGCGAGCTAGGGCCGGGGGGTGCACTCTTGCGGCTGGGCCGGGGGGGGGGGTGCACTTCTGCGAGCTAGGGCCGGGGGGTGCACTCTTGCGGCTGGGCCGGGGGCCGGGGTCGGCCGCTGCACTCCTGCGGGCTGGAGCCGGGGCTGGGGGCCGGGGTTGCACTCCTGCGGGCCGGGGCCGGGGCCGGGGGCTATCCTGCGGGCTGGGACCCGGGCCGGGTTCGGGGGTGCTGCGCTCCTGCAGGCAGGGGCTTGGGGGTGCACTCCTGCGGGCTGGAGGCCGGGGATCGGGGGCGGCCGGTGTACTCCTGCGGGCCGGGGGCGGGAGTTGGGGGCGGCCGGTGCACTCCTGCGGACCCGGGGCTAGGGTTGGGGGGGCGGCCGATGCACTCTTGCGGGCCGGGGGCGAGGGCGACCGGGTGGGGCAGGGCGCGGCTCCCCTGGAGCCCCCTGGGCTCTGATCTCTCCGGGAGGTGTCTGCGGGGGACAGTTCTGCGGCGGGTGGAGGTGGGGAGGGGCGGGAGCGTCCCGACAGCGGGAGGTCCTGGGCTGATCCCGCTCCTGAAGGGTGTTTCCCTGCAGTGGGGGGCTTACTGACTTGCCCGGTTTCCCCCTAATCTCGCCCTTCTACATTCTCATCTCCCCCCCAATCCCCCCCCCCCCCCCCCCCAAGTTCATGGCTTCTGCATTGCGGTGGGTGTGGTTACCTACTAGATGGTAACTGTAGAGCTTTGCAGTGGGGAGAATCTTTCCTTTTCGGTTTTGATCTATGGGGAGCCAAAGTTTCCTGTGTTTGCTTTCTCTTCTATTGCAGTTTTAGGGAGGTTAGAGTTGGGAAGAGATGGTGGCCGAGCAAGTAGAATGATAAAGAAAACATGTGGAATTAATTGCGTGTGCAAATTGGACTGAGAAATCCTGCGGGCCAGGCCGTCCAGCTAATGCAGGGTTTGCATGCCGTGGTTCAGCCGCCCTTGGTCTTGCAGCATTCTCCCTGAAGTACTGCGGAATTGCATTTGCAGACATCCCGCCAGCTCTTCCCCACCCCCATCCCCATGTTGGCCTCCCTGAGATGGCCAGGTGTGCGTGAGTTTCTCTTGCTAGCGTGGACTTTCCCCGAAGAAGAATCTTCACACTTAGCACTGAAAACATTCTTTGGGAGTTTAATCCTGATTTTCAAAGTCTCCAGAAAACAAAAGTGACCAAACTCTGCTTGTATCTGGGAGCCATGGACATAGCACTAATTACAGCAAATTAAGCAGAAAAACCCAATTAGGAAACGGGGGCACATGAAGCTTGAGTGAACTCTGGGGAATAGGAGGTAATTTATATCTTGGCTCAGATAGGATTTAAAAAAAAATGTTAATTTTCGTATCAGACTTTTAAAACTTCAACTGAACGACCAAGTTCTTGTGAGAAAAAATAAATCCTAAATCGGGAAGTGGTGACTTACATATGATAATCTCAGAATGCTGGGTGGAAGTAACTGAATACTAAATGCTGTATCATTTGCATAAAACTTTTCTGAAAACTTAGAAAAAAATAGCTGAATTGCATAAAATTTAGCTAATACACTTTAAACAAGTGCTTTTTGTTTGCAAAATAGCATATTGCTTTGTGAGTGGTTTATCAGTATGAGAAGCACTGCCATTTTATTTAATTTGTACACCCTATTTAGGTGAAAGACTGAGAAGAGGTAGGTCACAATTTAGTGTCTCAGTGATATATTTATATTTTTGAAGTCATTTCTTCTGCCTGAATTTGATTTAGGTTGAACGCAGCTTTTGTTCTTTTACAGTGCTTAGACTTCAGTGTGTGCTGGCCAAATTTTATTGAAATAGATCAAAGATTATTTTTTTTACTTGATTATATGCTATTTAATGGACTCTTTGGTTTTGAAAAAAAAGTAGTCTGTCGGATACATTAAAAGGCAGTCTAGGTAGCATAGAGGCAAACATTCACGAACTGAGAGATATATTGCCTTTATTTTGGGAATCCTGTGTATTCTGTCAGATCACGCAAGGCAGAACCATGCTGTCTGTGCCAGGTATTTCTCTTTGTGTTGTAAAACATGTATTCATCTTTTAAATAGAATTCACATTCTCTCCAGTAAAACAGGACTCTTAAGAGTGGACTGGAAAAAATAAACACCCAAGAAATAACACTTTCATTTTTACATGAAAATTGGACTAAAAGGAACAGAGGTTTCTGCAGTACTCAGCTACCCTGGTCATCTTTAGTTCTCAAAGTCCTTTTCAAGTATCCAAACACACTTTTTTCCCCCCTTGCTCAGCTTTATTATGGAGTATAGGCACACTATTGAGAACCATGAATCAAATAAATCTTTAGCACCACTTCATTTCAAGAGATCTTTATTGGTGCAGTTGCTGCATCTATTTCTTTCAAAAGGCTAGCTTGCTGCTAATTTGTTTGAAATTCATGAGGCGGCGCTGGAAGGTTCTGCTGTCATTTGATTTGCCTTAGTTGTAAAGAATTATGTGCTCAGAAGCAAGGACTGGAGCAGTGAAGTCATTGCTCTGCCCTGTGTTGTGACATCACTATGGCTCAAAGGAAACAAGGGTGGGGCCGGCAAGACCAGACCATCTCTCCAGAGTCTTGCTGGCTTAACGTGGCCTGTGGAATGACTAAGACTCCTTTCTCAAGTTGAACTCTCCAGAAGGTATTGTTTAGAGAACTGGAAGGTAGATGTGAATGCAAAACTATGGGAAAGTGTGTTTTGTAGATCTAAGGGAAAAAATGTTTTGTGTGTGTGAAATAGAAAAATGGACAACAGATATGAATACAAGACTCGATGGGAAAATGTGTTCTATAGATTAAGAAAGAAGAAAGCTTTTTGGAGATAGTTTAAGTCAGTGACCATAGCTCTTATTAAGGAAATTACTGGATTTCTTTTTTTTTTTTCTAAAAGAAGGGCTATTTAAATATATCTCAAGAGCAGGAATAGTGTGTTATTTATAGAGTTATATATCTTAGCCTTTATACTAAAGTAGCAAGCATTATGTCTAAATTCTTAATTTAGACTACTAGTATTGTCTGTAAGGATATATGGTGTCCATAAGGATGCATTATTTTCTTTACAGGCAATGTCCTTTCTGATTTCTTTCTTTCTTTCTTTTTTTAAAGATACTTGATTTTTTTCTTGTCTTTCTTTTTGGGTTACACCCAGTGATGCTCAGGCATTACTCTTTGTTCTGCACTTAGGGATCACCCCTGACAGTGCTCAGGGGACCATATGGTGTGTCCAGGATTGAACCCAGGTTGACTGCATGCAAGGCAATTGCTTTATCTGCTGTTTTATCTCCCCAGCCCCCTGATTGATTTTTAAGGGATGTGATTAGTTGGCAGTTAGAATATGAAAAATACTAGAGAATTCACAAGGTTTGAAGATATGTGCAGTGATTTAGGTAGTTTATTGTCATTTAAGTTTTTGATTTATTTGCAGATTATTTTTTATAACGTAGCATTTAAATTCTAACTTAGAATTCTTGTGCATAAATGGTCACAGAAATGTTTTACCCAAATTAGTATTGAGTAAATAATAAAGGATATCTGAGATCCTGAAACTCTGAAGTGCATTTCATGCTTTGATATCAGTTTAATATGTTCTGAGCATAAAGAAACGCAGAATCACAGCATAGCCACGGATGTTCCTTGTCTTCCAGGCACTGCCTCGATAAGGTGGCTGTCATTTTTTTCATGTCTGCTATGTAGATAGATGTTGTGGGCAGTTCTGACTATGTAGCTCTTCCAGCCCCCAATTCTAAAGCTAAGGGAAGGGAGATAAAAGGGAACATGGGGGTAGTAGAGAGAAGAATGGCACAAGTAGATGGGTTGAAATTAGGTTCCAGAGCTGCAGATCACTTGGTTGAAATGTCTTTGGTACTGCATTTTTAGCCTTGTGGTGACTGGTTAAATTGTACACTTTAGAATAGTAAGCTTCTATTAGCACAAAACCCCTAATTCTTTTGTAATTTGTAGTACAGAGAAAAAGCTGACAGCTTAATTTTTAGATTGCTGACATTTTGATAGTGTTCTTATAGCCATTGCTTACGAATTTAAAAAAAGAAAAGCAGTGGAAGGTCTGTATTAGATCTAGGAAACCAATGCAGCACTGAACTCACCCAGTTATGAGGACTGTGAATCTGAACTCTGGGCAAGTCATCCACCAACCAGGTATCGTCCATGTACTGAGAGCACTGAGTAAATATTTATGGAATTGGATTAAAAAAAGACCATTTGCGACTTAATGCTTCACTACCAAACAATACTTGAAAAAGCCCTGCTTCTTTATTTTAAAATGAGGATTACTAGACGCCTGTGTACTATTTTTTTGTTTGTTTGTTTTTGAGCCACACCCAGTGCCACTTAGTGCCTACTCCTGGCTTTGCACTCAGGGATTATTCCCGGTGAGACTTTAGGGACCATATGTGGTGCCAGAGATAGAACCTGGG